CCCGTGTCCCGCCCCGTTAATCGGTCGCAGCTTCGTACACCGCGGTAGAAAGAAGACGTGTACTTTTTCCCATCGTGTGAAATACGAGAACGCAAACACTCACGATCCCGACGGTTAACTTAAAATCGAGAAAACGTTTTTTTGTACTCTTCTACAAACTTGTTCGTGTCTAGCTTAGTTACGCCACGATCTGTACCTCGCCCCATCGAGCCGCGACGTCGCAACGATTCGCTGAGCCGAACCGACGCGAGAACGCCGCGACCGGCGGGTTTAAACGAAACGGCACAAAAATTTATCACCATCGGTCGCCGCCCGCGCGTTGACGGGCGGCGCTGAATCGGGAACTCGCGCGGAAACTTAGAAGAAACCGTGAGCGAAGACTGAGATTCTAACGACGCGCGGAAGGGAACTTCCGCGCGTCTGTGCTCGCGCCGCCGATCCTCCCCCAACGACAGAAAGAAACCTAGTGGCACTGTGTCAATACTTTACGATACCGAAACGGCGGTCGAAGAACTTATACTATTCCCGACGCGTCCTTTTGGGGCGTTGATTGACTCCAACCTCGTCGGTGCCGCGCGACTTCTTACCGATTTGTACCTGACTCTGTGCGGTTAGCTGCAGCGAGATCGCGTGCGTGTTCAGCTTCTCGGCGAGCAGCAGGTCCTTCAGACCCTTCATCTTCTGACTGTACAACGTTATCCTCGGCTTCTCGTTCTCCGAGTCGGCCTCCACCTCGGGGTCAAGGTTTTCCTGAGACGTGGAAGGTGCAGGCGGCAGAGCGTCGTCCGGCGGCGCGACGAACGGCTCCCCGCCGCCTTGCAGGAGGTAATCTCTGTTAAGTATTTTCTCGCTGCATGCCGCGGTTAAAGCTTGAATGCTGGGATGCATGGGCGCCGGGTTCGAAGGTACTTTAGACTCCAGGCTCTTGATCAGATCGCGCGCCGTGTTGCCCCTCTCCTTGGTCTTGCAGTAGTTGTTGTTGTTGTTGTTCAACGTCTCCTCGGGGCTGGTCTCCCTCTTCTGCGCCCTCTCCTCTTCCTGCTTCGCCTCTGCATCGTAGCATTCGATGATCACCTGAGCCCGGATACCGGCGTCGAACTTCGAAATGGTATTTACCAGAGGTCGGGCCCATCCGATGTGCAGCACTGGCGTGTTCGCGCCCTCCTCCCATTGGCATATGCCGTCGTAGAACCTCAACAGGTACGCGAAGCATCGCGGCTGTCGCAGCAGACGCTCGTCCGCTCGTACCGTGTGCGGTATCAATTCGTTTGCTATCTCCAACAGCTCCTTGTATATTTCTCCGTCGTCCCTCGAATAATCGTACCTGCCACGCGTTGACATTGGAGAATGTTAGTAAATAGATCTTTGATTCAACGGTGTGCGGCATTGGTGTTGGTCTACTTACTTCCTTAAAACGTCTGCCGCGTCCGCCCACGACGCCAACGCGTTCGCGTGTAGACCGTGTCTGTACAAGTAGCCACCCTGGTAGGTGTACGGATACACGTGAGCGTTGCCATAATACTTTCTTGCAGATCGTATCGCTTCCTGAAAGAATGGGACACCAGTGAGTACCGAAATCAAGCTGGAAGAACCGTACAATGGTACAACATACCTGAAACAGATCTATAGCAGGCGGTCTGCCAGGTGTCGGCGCCGCTTCTTCTAAATCTCCTAAGTTCCCCAACGCCATGGGGTATTTCGCCAAATGACCTAAATCGTACAGTAACCAAAGTAACTCCTGCTGAAGCAACGCCACTTCCGCGGCATCTGCAGTCGCGCTCAAGCTAGGATTTATAGCTGAAACTATGGTGGCAACCTCCATAGCCCTGGAGCATACCACCGCCTGTCCGTTCACGTACAACCATGATCTGGAAGCTACACCGGGCTCGACAGGCTGACCACGTTTGTCCTCGTTTCCTTTCCCTAAAAAGGATCAGCGAATGTTCTTTATCTCGAATCCAATAACTCTAAAGGTAATTCAAAGGCAAATACCCACCGTGCCATGTTACTTCCGCCGTTTCATTGCCATCCTCTCCATAAACCACCCAGGCATGATCTTCGGACATAGCGAGGTGCACGTCTTTAAATCCCAGTACCTGACAGCCAGCTACCACCGCAAACGCCACTCCGAAGCAGTCCAATTTGTTCGCTGTGAGATAACTATAGAGACTCTGCAAATGCGCGCGATCCTTGTAGTAGCTTCTAGTGAGAGAATTCCATATCACGTCGGACACCTTTTTGACAAGCTCCCTGGTCGCGTATTTGGTGTCATAGACTGTCAGATCGACCGCTCCTTTGATCACCGCGTGGAACTTCGTGTAAAGGGCCTCGGCGATGTGAAACTCGACCGCCGGCAGTTTCGGCTCGTCGTAAACAGTCGACTCCTGCGACGCAAATGTTCGATTGCAGGTTAGGGAATTCTCGACCGCGCCGACAAGGATCGAGAGCAGAGCCAGGTCCGGCTCCGAGCTGTTTTCCAGCTGGTTCTGGAAGATTTGGACAATGGAGGAGATACTCCGTATAGGAAAGAGCGCCTTATCCTCGTCCCGAAAACCCGCCATGTCGTGAATGGCAGGCTACACGCACGAGATCGAGATCTTCTCTCAAACCACGAGTGTCATCCTGTTTCGCGTTTATCTTGACAGAAACTCTCGGCGAAGTTCCGCGATCCGTTCGGTTCCTCCTCGTCTGACTAACGTCGCATGCTAGTCAACGGTGATTTCCTCGTTCTCCAAGCGAAACTCTCACATTTCCGCACCATAAAATGTATCACAACCGCGTATCAATCACCTAGCGGCGCGCCGCCACTAGGATCGTTTCCATTGAGTCTCGTCCGGTACACTGTGCCGTGCTCCGTCCGACACACCGAAGAGGGCGAGTTTCTCTGCGAGCGACGGATCCCCCTTTAAGCCTACACGAATGTTCTGGATAAGCGCGCGCTTCTCATTCCAGAATTTTCCATAACCATCGAGCAATTATCTTTACTGCGCCGCAACTTCGAAACGCACGGTGTTCCCCGTGAATCACTCGACACCGCGGAGAATTTCAGTTTTGACAATTGAAATGATGCGTCTAATTCCGATTAGATTTATCTGTCAAATACAGGACCCTTCGCGCGATCATGTTCATCATTCTGGTGTCGGGAGAATCGTTGAACGACGTGTGAATTCGAACATTTTGACGGTTATGAATTTGAACGGATACTCTGCGTAATGAGTCGCGATATTTTCGATAGTAATAGACTTTTTAATAAAATTGGCGCTCACGAAAACGTTGCGAAGCCATCTGGTAGCGAACTGCAGTATCAATTGATTAGCATAGACAAGATATGTGTAGATTGTGCGCAGAATGTGTTTTTCTGTCTACTGTTCTGAAATATCGACACTGTCAAAAATGGCGCGCACTAGCGGACTCTAAATCGAACGGTTAACTAGTGAACTATGTAAGACTGCGACATGGAATGTTTATTTACAGTTGTAAGAATTAATTGTTCGAAAAGAAATTTTCTTTTATGTTTATGAAAAAATAGAGTTTATTTACATTATTTTAATGTACAATTATTTTTGTCGGTAACGTTGTGCACGAGACCGAAATGGTACGGGGGTCTTGAGACCCCTGAAACTGGTCAAAAATTCGCATAAGTTGCAACGTCTATAGGTATATACATATTTTAAGTCTGTATGAAATTAAACATTAAGGAAGCCGCAAAAACACAAAATTATGGAAGCAATATTATACCCTAAAATGTTTCATATGCCACTAAACATTGTGGCATAAGAAAGAACTCTCCTTGGCTCACGATTTTGTTTGCAAGTAAAGAGTGAATAATTGTTTTTTATTTATAAATATGAAAACAAACTATCCGTTTGAAGTTTGACAATTTTCAAACCAATATTCTAACAATTATGGCAGTTACCGTATCGCCAAAGCATTTTTCTATTAATATTATAAGGTACAATATTTTCAGCTACAATAAATACATACTGGATGATATTAATAAATAATTATTTTTCTGTCATTTAGCCTTGAAGGTAATATTGCAAACATTACTGTAAAACCAGACTTTACCATTGAGAAAACGAAAACAATGGTAATGAAACATTTATATGGCAATGACAAGACAAAAATCCCTTCTAAATTCCGATTAATACATTCATCTAAATTTAAACAACTTATAGATAGTAATAGTATAAATGATGAGCAAATAAATGAACATGGTAAACTTTCAATTTAATAGTTTCATATATACAATCCATATATGTACAGAAAAAAATTCAAAGTTATCTTTCATATACAACTTTTCATATACAAAATAATTCACATAGGAATTCTCTGTGTTATAGATACATTAATGTTAGTAGAAGTTCGTCCAGTACCTGGAAAAGAAAATTTATCAGATAAAGCTTTGAAAGGTCCAAACCAGGCAGCAATATTACAAGCAACTAGTGATTTACCTATAATTAATCCACCTCGTTTCATTTCACCGATTGAATGTCTTGCAGATGTAAATGTATACATATTATTATAATACTTTTGTGTACTACAAATATTTATTCTGATATAATATTCTATAGTTTCAGAATGAAATACGACAAATTTTAATATCACTTGTAAAAGCATCTGCAAAATCTTTAATGTATAGTTCAGAATCACAGGAGATTTATAATGTTTTGAAGGATAAGTTACAAATCAAATGTAATCAAATTAATGATGAAAATTCTATAAAAGAACTAATGGGAAAGGGTTATTCTCGTAAAAGAATTTTAAAAGCTCTTCGTTTAACAAAGTATGGTTTAAATAATTAAGAAATAAAAAATTGAATATTTATAAATAAATTTTCATAATTCATTCATTTTAGATCAGATCTGACAAGAGCAGTAGATTGGTTAATAGAACATCAAGATGATCCAGAAGATGATGATGATGGTGATGCTGATGGTGATGGTGATGATGATGATGATGAGTTGTTAGCTATTGAAAGAGACAATGATAAACATGTTACAGGTCCCAGTTCATCTACTGGTTCAAAAAACAAGTCTTTCAAAGAAACATGTACTGAATTATTTACAGGAGGTAGTTATCTAACAGCCAAATATCATGTTTAAATTCATTGCTTCATTGTAGTTCATGTTTATATTTAAATCCATTATCAATTATATAAAAAATCAAGGTTCACCAAAGGAGGGAAACTTACTTAGCATCCTAGATCTTTTGTTGCAAAGTTATTATCGTGATAAGAAAATAAACTTCAAACCTAACTCTAAAGCAAAACAGTTACTTTTGGAAATGGGATTTGACGAGAAAAGTATTGTTGATGCACTGAAGATTACTGGGAATAATCTAGCTAATGCTGTAAGTATAATCATAATAAGATTAAACCTAGTGTTTAACATTTGTAATTGTTTAGTGTGAATGGTTGCTTGGAGATAGGGGACATAGTTTACAAGATTTAGATGAAGGCCTTGATCCAGAGAGTCCAATTTATAATGCAATTATGAATAATCCACACATTCAACTTAATCTTACAAAGTCTAAAATGTTCTTAGGTACGATTTACACATATACACGCACATAAAATTGTTTTGAAGCTATCTAATACAAATAATGTTTTTAGTGTATTTATCTATAATAGAATTTCCAACAACAATAAATATGTGGATTCATGTTCCACATGTTCTTGATCAAATACTTCAAATTTATCAGGATAAAAAACATTCCAATCATGTAAATCAATATGCAGGTGACTAATGTTAACTATTCGCATTCGTGTAATAAAGCAGTACGACTATTTTAAAAATGATTTAAAAATATGACTTTAATATAAAAAAAGTGACATTTAAAAAGTCCAACTATTTGAATGTTCACAGGCAGACAGAAAAATCAAGATTAAAGACAAAAATTTGTATGCAATGAAGTTACAAGCTATGTGACCACTAAAAACAAATCACATACCCAATATTACTACAAATCTAAATTTATTATATGTACATTCATTTAAATAATTGCATTTAATATATATCTAAATACACATAATATTTGCAACTTAGAGTGAAGTACATAATATACGATACACCATAAAATATATAAATAACTAATAATGATTTTCAATTACTACTGGTTACTTATATATCTTTATATTAATGTCATAGAACAAATTATAATTAATTACCTACTTACCGACAGGACATTTTGTGCACGTGTCACCACAGCAATCTTCACCATAGAATATCGTGGTGTAGACAGGAATGTTACTTTCTGTAACGTTCGTTAGATGGCGAAAGTGGAGTCAATAAGTTTGTTGCGCCGGCATTTTGTACATTCAGCGTGGTCGAAAGAGAGTTGGTTCCTCCGTGAAGCGATTTTTATAAATAATCGCGGAGAGGTTTCTCATTCCTAACAACAGATATCTTTGTCAAGATAACAAATAGAATTTTCTCTGTAAAAAGATGGTAAGTGATTCGCTGTTAATATTCCCTTTAATCTGCGCTTTAGAGGTTATCTTTTACACGTGGGTTGTTTATGTAGCTTATAAAATTTAATTTGATCAATTATTATTTGTTGTGTAGGCTGATGAAGTTAATCCAAGAGCATACCCTTTAGCGGATGCAACATTGACTGCGAAAATCCTTAATTTGGTTCAGCAGGCAATGAATTACAAACAATTAAGGAAAGGAGCCAATGAAGCAACAAAAACGTTAAATCGTGGTCTATCAGAATTCATTGTAATGGCTGCAGATGCAGAACCTTTAGAAATTCTATTACATTTGCCACTGTTATGCGAAGATAAGAATGTTCCATATGTATTTGTAAGAAGTAAACAAGCATTAGGTCGTGCTTGTGGAGTATCTAGACCTGTTGTTGCTTGTTCAGTGACTGTTAACGAAGGTTCACAACTAAAGCCACAAATTCAAGCGATACAACAAGAAATCGAACGACTTCTAGTTTAAGTTATTAGTACCTGATTTAAAAAAAACAAACATTCTTCAAGTTTTAACTTTATAGCACAGTTTATATTTTCTCACAAAAAGTTTAAAGTATTCTTAAAAAATTCAACTACATGCAATTCATGTGAAATGTTATATGTATCATCTTCATAATAAAACTAATAACAATAAATTGACTATTATTCATAAAGTTAAATGAACTATAATAAGATACAGATAGAATATGTGCACTATATACAACCATACATAAAATTTATGAAAAATTAATTTTTAATATACTTTAGGAAACATGTTTATACCATAAACACTTACAATTTATCAACAATTCTTAAGTTATTTGTTAAAATAAGGTAATACAGTAGAAGTCCAATTATTGTGCCACCGATTTTCTTGGAACTTGCGAAGTTCTTGTCTGAACCTATCATCCAACTTCTGTTGAGTATCATTATTAGGGAAATTTTCAAACCATGACTTCAGTTGTGCTGCCAGTTCTTTATAATTCGAAAAAATCATTCCATTTTCGTTATGTTTAACAAGCTCTGGTAAACTGTAAAATAAAAGCATTGATAACGATCATTTATGTACTGAACCTTTATGCTACAAAATATCACAATGAGACTGTCATTTCTGGAGAACTTAAAGTGTAACAACTAATATCATAAAAGAAAAAAATCCACTTACCATTTGAAATTATATGCACAAACTGGCAGTTCACATCCAAACATATCAACAACTTTCATTGGTAAATCCAAACCACTGGATGAAGTGTGGAGACAAATCCCTAAATCTGCGCTAGCTACATACACACAATACACGTTTTATGTATATATCTCACTTAAAAAAATGATTCAATTATAAACGAAAAAAAATCAGTATTTTTTTACCTAACATTTTAGGATAATCTTCACTTTCAAGCCATGGTGTTAGAACTGTAACATGTTTCCACATTTTTAATGTTATAATTGCCATATAAAATTCTTTCAAATGTCCTTTACCAGTTATGACACAAATCAAATTTGGGAGATTATAAATATGTTCTTCAACTGCATATTCATATTCTGAAAAATAAGAATATGCCAATTTTTTAATACTTCTAGATCCCTATCAAATAATACATTCCCTCCATATTTGTACAGTTATACAGTGAGTTTAATATATTATGAAGTAACATCAAATATACCTTGCAATGCTTTCACTAATATAGAAAAATCTTCATCTTCCGTCCAACTTGTACTAGACACAATAAATCCAGGTCTTTTAAGTTTCAAACGAACCTCATTTGATATGCATTCTGTAAATATAGTAGAATTTTCCTCTGGACCTTTAAAAATGTCATATGTTTCGCTTAATTTTAATAAAAATTCATGTTTCTCTGTTAATGATATACGCTGAAATTTAGTTATTGGACGATCATATAATACTTTAGCCCTAAACAAAAAAAAGTTATTAAACAAAGTATCTGAAAGCACACAGATATAACTGTAAATACTAACTTGATTCCCCACTTCAACTGTAAGTCTTCCTTTAACGCTCTCGAAACACAAAAATTACTTTGAGCTTTAGAACCGAAAAACATTTCAATTGCCTTTGCAAATTTTACTAATAAATGATCGTTTCTCAAACTTAGTGCCATGATAGTATGAGCATAATTATGCCAGTCAACGATAAGATGACAATCTATTACGGTACAATAAAACCAACAAACTGGAATTGTTGGAATCGCAGGTGGATTTTGCAATAATACATATGTGGGCATAGGTTTCTGAAATAAAACCCATAAAAGTGTAACCATTTGCCACAACGTTTTTATCACGTAACGCACGAGGCTAGGTATATCTGAAATGAAAAAATATTTCGATCTCAAATATATTCTGTAAAGATCCTGCTGTTTCGTGCATCAAATTTTTAAATATAATTTATTACATATAATATAAATTTTTCATGAAACTGATAACATACTGTTGTTTATATTCGGTGGTGGCAGGAGATAGTAAATACGTACTCGAGGGTTTTCTTGTATTTCTTTTAATAAGGATGAACCAGAATAACCTATAAAGTCTACCATAAAACCTTCTTCTATCAATGACATTACATGATATTGCATTCTAGGACTTCTACCTAAATCTCCGAGAACAACAACACAGACATTTTTACGTATTTTACATTTCTTTAAGTAGAATTTCCTCATCACCAGTAAAACTAACAGTAGTATAAATAATAAACAAATCATCCACATTTTTAATTGAAATTACAATTAAAAATATTACTGCTTATAGTCACAAGCTGTATTTTATTTTTACAAACTTTTCATAAACGAAACAGACTTCGTTGGCAAATTTCTGAATTCGAATTCTACCAGAACGTTACACGTTGGATAGTATGCACGAACGCGTGGCGCTGCATTCACATTACAATATGGAGACATAAATGTTGTACAATGTTTATCGTAATGTCTTTCAAGTGGCAAGCGTCAATAACATATTTGTTATTTATATATTTCCATTTCGCTAATTACAAATCAAATATTCGTGAATATTAATTTCCTTGAAATAACTTTTTTTGCGTGTAATATTTCAATGTATTCTTCTGATTATGTTTTATCTAGTTATTTAATTGTTATTGTATCTTATTCGAATAAATAAATATTATTACACTGAGTATATCATTCCATAAATGTTCAATTGTTCAGTAAACGGCTAATGAAACGTAAATTTATTTTAAAAATACATTTTTATATGTCTTTTAATGTTCCTTGTACATGACTTCCAGATAGATTTTTTTAGTTTAGATGAAAAAAATATTATATATTTAAAAATGACATCAATTAATGAGAAACCAATGATTGAAAGTAACGTTTGTTTTCTTTCTTGCCAAGGAAATGCTCATGTTCCACGACGGTTACTTGAAGTAAATAAATTATTAAACTTAATCAATAGAAAATTGGAAGACTGTGCCCTCGAATGGCAAGCTGAAATTTCTCGTAAACAATGGAAAATATTCAATTCTCATACCATTGAAAATAATCTGTCTGAGAAGTCATTATTGGCAAGAACATATTTTAGTGAAAAGAAATTCGATAAAGCTTTTCAACATGTACTTTTTTGCAATCAAACTTTTACAAAATATTTAAAGGATTTCATTGGCAAGTAAATTAATTATATATTTTTTACAGTTACAATGGAAACCTTTAAAAATGATGAACAACTTCTTTGTATTTATAGCTCTCCTACAAGGCAAAGAATCTGCTTTCAATGAAAAAGAAATTTATGATGGACCAAATCAAGGTTACAGTATAACAAAAAATTGGAACACGTTAAATGGTTCTAACATTGAGTCATTGTATTTGCCTTTATTGAGAAATCAACAACTAAATGGAATGAGGAAACCTAAGAATCCAGTTGACAATACATTAGAGGTTCAAAATTCATTTGCTGATGTCATTAAAGCTAAAGTTAATTTTGATACAAAATTCTTAGGATTTGAAGATATACTGCACAAAATTAGTTCATTGTCAACATCAACCGATACAACTTACATCTGCCAATATTGTTCTAAACAATTGGTAAATAAATTTTACATTACAGTTGCCATTATTAATATAATATTAATATGAAATAATAAATAATAAAATTAATCTTGCATTCAGAAAACAGCACAAACTGGACGTGAGAATATTATTGGTACTCAAAAACATCATATAATTACAAAAACAAAACGTTTAACTAGATCTGCGAAGCAATTATTTAAGAAAAAAGAAATGAACAAGTCATCTTTCACAATCAATGAAACTGATAATCAGTCATCATTCAAACTAAATACAAGTTTCTGATAATTGAGCTGCATTATGTAATACTCTTGTTTGTAGTCAAATTTATATTATTCTTTGAACACAAACATCTTTAAAATGTAAATTTAAGACACATTGTCATCAAAGAAGAGGATAATTTTAAAACCCTGCAGGAGACACTAAAATTTGTAAAAGTTTACAATGTACATTGACTTTTTATGACATAATATATTAATAATGTATTGATAAAATCTTACAGAACGAAATATTATTTATTATAATATTTGTCGTTCTTCCAGGATAGTCTCATTACATTTTTAAA